CTAGACCGGTCTGGACCATGTCCGACCTGAGAATCCGGACGAGATAGGCGCCCCATTGTCTGGCTCACCCATCCCACGATCTCCTGTCAAGGCCGGAGCCCCTAGCGGGCATATGGGAGGGCTGTGGGAAGGCCTAGCGAGCCCTGTTGGGGAATAATCCCCCACCTGTAATGTAGAACCAGAATTGCTCTTTGTTTTTTTGTTTTCTTTTGCCCTTGTGTTCCTTCCTTTATTTTCTTTTCCACGGCTATTGATGCTGTATTGTTCTGTTGAATGCACTGCTATGCATGGTGCCACTAATGTTAGGCACAAATAGCGTGCACAGTTGTACTATTTGCTTGTAAAACAATAAATTATTTTAACAAAAAAAAATTGTTATCTTTTCCTGTTTGTTAAGTACCATTCAGTGAATTGTGCACGTATGCATATGAACAAGGATAGAATGAGCCTCATCTATCAAAGTGTCTAAGAGAAAAACAGTCTATGGATTCCCATGGATGTCCAAATTATTTAGAAGATTTATTCTTTTAGAACTGATCTGACACTGTCTAGGCGGTGTAGGACCCATCCCAAAATTCTGAGCCTGACGGATATCTGCTTATTTAGCAAATTGACAGTAAGCCTGATGATGTCCTATTAAGGCCACATCAACAGATATACTTTTCATATGGCCATTGCTTTTGTTTTACACAGTACAGTGTACAGTACAGTATCAATCCCAGCCCAATCCTAGTAGTTAAGCACATCTATCAGTTATTTGGATTGATTAGACTAGATCTCTACTGTGATTACAAAAACCATACAAATGACAAGATAAATAATTACAAAAGTTTTACTTATAAGTCTAAATAAACAAATGCCAACTTTCATTAAAGTCAGTTACAGTAACTTACCAGAATGTTTACCTGTGCATAAAGATTTTTGTAAGCATGTTATTGTTCCCACTCTCAGCTTTCTATCAATCCCTGGATAGCAGCTGTTGATACTCGGTGTAAAAATGTACTTTACCTTCCAAAGCTCACAAAGTCTACCCAACTACAATTACATTATCTCTACTTTTCTGATTGGCTGGAATATTTTTTTTATGGTTGACAGCACTGGCTCTAATAAATGGAGTCACATAAGGAACAGTATAATGTACCAGACTGAACGCTATTACATTGATTCACTTCTTTTTTAGAACTTGCAAATTTGGCTACATTATTATTATTACTACAGGTATTTATATAGTGCCAGCAATCTATGCAGTGCTTCTTATACTATTCATTCATATAAATCCTTGCCCTGAATAAGTTTACAGTCTAAAGTCCCTATTTCATGTGCACACACACACACACACACACACACACACACACACACTAGGGCCAATTTAAACCGCAGCCAATTATTCTATAAACTTGTCTTTGGAGGGTTGGAGGAAAATGCAGTACCCAGAGAAAATCCTTGAGGAAATGTTCTCATCATTCACATTTATGTGGTAGTCAGGAATAAAAGGGCAATTGACTTATGTCTGCATAACTGACTGACCACTGAGGTCTGTGGCCAGCCTCAGTTGTATAAATGTATGTGTGATGGTGACATTTAGATAAACAAATGACAGTTGGTCTTGTGTGTTGGACTCTTGGGAATAAATATAACTTCAGGGTCTTCCAAACCAGGTTGTGTTAATCAAAAAATAAATGAGAGGTTGTTATACAATTTCTGATACAGATGACAAAGATAAGATTAGGAGGCAGGGCGGTGGTTTGCACGGAAAGCACTAGGCATGTGCCAAGATATGATTGTGCTGTCTCTCCCTCGTGAATTTATAGAGATAAGCAGCCTTAGCAAATTACTATTTAGCACATCGTTTTCTTCGGCTCCTTCAATGCCTGCATTAATTTTAATGAAAGTCTATCTCCGGATTTGTATTGGATTAGCTGGCTACTTTTCTCCTTCCTTTGTTTGCAACTGCCATTGTGAAGAATGGTTCAAGCGTGATGGGGTAATTTCAGCACAAATAAGTATTGATACACTACAGACTCTATTACAGAAGAAATAAAAAAATGAAGTATGTTCAACAGCATATACAGGGCTGCATTTTTATGAACTAAAAAAAATAAACCTTTTAAAAATATTTGGCAAAGTCCAATTACATGTTGTCTTTTGTTGTCTTTTTGTTGTTGACTAAGACCTTTTTTCTAGAGCTAAAATGGGCATGCATATAGAGTAAGCAAAAGCTTAACTTTTCTCTAACACAGCAGTGTGCCGCTAGCAACCAGTAAGGTTAATTATTTTTATTTTTATTTGCGTGATAAAGGATGGGCTCACATTGGGACTGCAGCAGTTGTAGATGTCTATGCTCCAAAGAATGAACTTATCTAGGGGGAACAAAATGAATCATCCTTCCTGAAACAACACGTAAGGTCATAAGATCCCTTGTTAGGCAATGTCGTGAGGATACCTTACTCTGATCTGATAAGAGTGAAAATGATGTACACATACCTTGCTTAGGTCACCTATTGTCAGTGCAGACTATTTCTGAGCACATATTCACTCTTCTCACAGAAGCAGAGCTTTTAGAATCATATAAAATCATTTAAAAATGTTTAATGTAATTTTAGTGTAAGATATATTTTTCCTAAATATGCCACATTTGTTAGGCTCAAGAGTGTGTCTTTACAAAAAGTTGAAAAAGAAAAGTGTTTCTGTCCAAACCTTTTTTAGTTTTAAATGAAGTGGAGAAGAGTTAGAACCTCTGATAGGTTTTTATTGCTGTGTCCCCAAATTAGAGATTCACCAGCTGTTTGTACTGTTGACTGTTGTTGTTGGGACAGAAAGCAAGGGGAAATTGTCACCTGAGGAAATCTTTGAATACAGACACCTCTTCCAGGGAAATCTGTCCCGGAGAGGATTTTCCCACTCTTTGTAGAAATGTTCTCTTCAGGCCTGTTGTTTCTTCAGGAAAGGAAGTGAGGGGCAATATTCCCAGTGGACACAGAGAATAAAGAAAAGGCTAATGGGGGTTTAAACTGTTTTTTATTTTATCCTTACACCTTAGATCAGCCATTCTTAACCAAGGTGCAGTAGCACCCTGGTCTGCCTTCTGGCTTCCTTAGGGAAGGGGTAGTGGGCCTGTGATGTGAAGGGGCATGAAGACTGAGGTTAAGGGGGATAAAGGGGGAACTCTGATGTGAAAGGAGGGGACTCTGATATGAAAGAGGGGTCTATTGATGCAAAGGGTGACTCAGATGTGAAAGGGGAGAATCTTAATTTGAAGGGTACATGTTGTTGTGAAGGGGGAAACCCACTTTTTTTGTGTGTTTTTGCATTGGGTCCCCCATAAAATCTATATTTTAGTCCGGGGTGCCTCGAAATTTTGCACACTCTTAAAGGCTGCCATGATTTTAAAAAGTCGATAAACACTGTCTTAGCCTTCATTTATAACTAGGCAACAGCATTTTCTCACATAGAAATTATAATTTTTTGCTGCGTTTTTGAGTGTGCATTAAGTTGCTCGTTTTCATGAGCAGATTGTGTCACATTGATGTCAATGGACAAAATGTGTGCAATAATGTGCAAAAACAATTGCAACGTGCATTTCCAAGAGTTTCCTATTTACTGTGTGGGGAAAAAACGAGCTATAATCTGCCAAAACAGTCGGCCTCATGAACAATCTGATTGGATGCAGGCATTGTTCAGGTGTTTTGAGAGCCAGCGGGGCCTACTAGCAAGATACTCAAGCTTGGCCCAGTGGGAGAGTCCTCCATCCACACAGTTTAGCGTAGATGGAGGAATCTGTAGCACTTTTTCCATCTGACCATAGAAAATTTGCAGAAAATCTATAGGTGTATGACCAGCTTTAGGAAGGGAGTACTTATTTATCTATTTATGTATCACTTTGATTTCATTATATATACACACTTTTTTCTATAAACATAAAGCATGTTTATTATAACCTTTTGTGCACAGGTGACCCGGGTTATTCCAGTGCATGCTGAGTCCATTTGCTTATTTGTTTACTGATGAACAGGCTGTTTGAGTATAATTTGATTTAAACTGTGCATTTGTGTTTTAATTTGATATTTATGTGTTCCTTAGATATGTGTTGCTACCACTACTAAAAATTACATTTGTGAATATAATGAATATAGCTTTATTTTCATAAGTGCAGATTTAATTGGTATAGAGGGATATTTTTGCTATGTGTATGTGCTGTGGGCCCCCTCTTTTCTCTCAGAATGCTCAGAATGTGTGTTTCCTTGCGTATTGGCTACAAATTACAAAAAGTTTTACTCTAGTAAACTACAATCCAATTCAATACTGAGTCAATGAGAACATAAAATCAAGCTTAATCCTAAAATTGCTATATTTTTGGAACGAGCACTTAAAGAGAACTGAAATGGTCTCTGTCTACACAGACTTAAACAAAATAAAAGTGATAGCTATTAGATACAAACAGATCAATATGATTATTTTCACATGTTCTACGATGTTTTAGTAAGTAAATAAAAGTAGCTTGCTTTAGTAGGACAGCTGTAGATTACATGTCTCATTCAAAACGAATATCTGTGCTTGGTTTGCAGAATAAAATTTCCCGTTTGTTCCTGGTTGATGTTAAAATCATTCTCATGTTTGAAGGTTTATAGATTTTATTTTTGATGGCATCTTTTTAAGAATGCCAGAATCCCACTGTGAAGATTAATTGCTCTTAGCAGTCTGCTATAGTGCCCACCTGCCCAATACTGTGCTATGTCTTGACACTGTTACATATGAGTTTGCATTCCTGGAAAATAACCATAGTCACAAGAGACAGAGGTACCTCTCATGCAGGCCCTACAGCCACAGGTTTAGCATTAGATATTAAATTCATATACAGTTTTTCTTTGAAATTCTCAAAATGCAGTCGCTTTGTAAAACCAATAACAGTAATCATTTGTAATTCAAAATGCAGTAGAAACATGTGTTAAAAGGACCTCTGCAAACCCATTCTAAATAAAATATGTTTTTTTCCTGTGCAGTGGGAAGAAATTGGTGAGGTCGATGAGAACTATGCTCCAATACATACATATCAAGTGTGTAAAGTGATGGAACAGAATCAGAACAATTGGCTCTTGACTAATTGGATATCCAATGAAGGGGCTTCAAGAATCTTTATTGAGCTCAAATTTACTCTACGCGATTGCAACAGTCTTCCGGGGGGACTTGGAACTTGTAAAGAAACATTTAATGTTTATTATTTTGAATCAAGTGAAGAAGATAGCAGGAACATTAGAGAAAACCAGTACATCAAGATCGATACTATTGCAGCTGATGAGAGCTTTACCGAGCTGGACTTGGGGGACAGAGTTATGAAGCTTAATACTGAGGTCAGAGATGTGGGACCACTGACCAAGAAAGGTTTTTACCTTGCCTTCCAAGATGTGGGAGCATGCATTGCTCTAGTTTCTGTTCGTGTGTACTACAAGAAGTGCCCCTCAGTGGTACGTAATTTAGCACTTTTCCAAGACACAATCACTGGAGCAGATTCATCACAACTTTTGGAGGTATCAGGAACGTGTGTCAACAATTCGGTGACTGAAGAGGCTCCCAAAATGCACTGCAGTGCAGAAGGGGAGTGGCTTGTTCCAATAGGAAAGTGTATGTGTCAAGAAGGATATGAAGAAAAGAACAATACTTGTCAAGGTAATTTTTTGGCTACTAAAAAACAAATTGTTTGAAAATTGATGTAATATTGCAATTAGCATAATTTACAATTGTAAATAACCAGAAAGGGTAAAAATATTATATACACACTTTCTTAGTGTAAGATATTAACATGTTTGTAGTTACTGGGATCCATTAGCTAAAAGAGTAAAGAATGCTCACTTGGCTAAGTACAGTAAGACAGGTGAGGTCCTCACCATCATACAAATTCAGATTTTTTAATTTCCATGCTCCTGACAAGGCTATGTTGAAAATGAACATAGCTTTACTTTATTCATAAAGAGAAGTGGAAATTCATGTTCTCCACTCCTTTTTCAACCCCAGCCTATATTGCTTTTTTCCGGAAATGCATTCATATGCAATACTAGTGTAAGATAGAGTTGCAGCAATGAAGATAGTATTCGACTCATGGTCATATTATAATTCGGAAAATAATCATGTTTATTACAATCATTCGCTTAACTTATGTCAAAAAATATCGAAATGATGTCATAATTAAATTTAGGTCTGTGAGCAAATTTACAGACAAAATAAATATTAGCTGCACATTTCTATACATGACATAGATCATATTTATTCTGTTGTAGATTGATCATAACTGACAAAGAAGCATTGGTATTAACATTTAAACACATAACAATGGAAGTGATGTGCATAATTTCAAACTGCTTCAATAAATACATTTTAATTTCTATACAAAAGTGATGATAAGTTTAGGCAGCGTGAAATAGAAGTACCTTATTTTGCGCTCCATAACACGCTGTCAGCCCCTCCACCTCAGTTCAAACACATTCGCTCCATAAGACGCACAGACATTTTTTTGGGAGGAAAAGTACGTCTTATGGAGCGAAAAATACGGCTTATTGTTTGCTATTCATGTTTTTTTCAGTTCATATATAGATATTTTTTTAGAATAATGTTAATACTTGTTATACAGAGGCATATATTCACAGCAGGTTTCTTGGTGCGTATTTTGCATAATTTTCCTCCGTTTTTAATCTTTGACTGCAGTTCCATAAATGAATGCCAAAAGTAAAGGTTATATCAACACAGTGGGTTGGAGTACTTTCTTGAAAATATTTTAATTGAAACTTGATCACGCATGCTTCCGCTTAGGATGGAAAATTATACATCGGTTATATTTTGAATACTGTTCTTGTTGTTGAAAACTGTTACTGTTTTTCTTGGCCTTTTTTATAATAATAAAGAAATGATCTGCTTTATTAACTCAGGGAGCTGGATTATGAAAAAATAAAGAGCTCCAGTTTAGCAATGACCAATGCAGCATCAGCAAAAAAATATTAAAGTTCAACAATATTACCATTAGTAAGAAATGCTTGAATACTTTAGCAGATGGAAAGCACCACATGATATGGAATTACATCATATAGTCATCATGAATTGATCAACCATTGTATAGCACCTGAGGACACAGCAAACTGTATAGCGCAGGTGAGCACATTGGCGTAGTGGTTATTACTTCTGCCTTACAGCACTGGGGGGGGGGGGGGGCGAAAAAATTTTTGTCTGTTGTTCTTACGAGCCCGGGGGGGGGGGGTGGTCCCTGGTTCAAATCCCAGTCAGTGAACTATCTGCATGGAGTTTCCATGTTCTCCCTGCACTTGCATGAGGTTCCTTTGGGTGCGTTTCTTCCCGTACTCCAAAGATATGCAGGTAGCTTAATTGGTCTTCTGTCTAAATCACCTAATATGTGAAATTGGGACTTTAAATTGTAACTTGTCAGTGTTATAGAAATATCTGTAGTAAAGAAATCAAACCTAAAGTGGGAACATAGACAACTACAATACATGTGCTATACTACTGCTCCTCTTCAGCAGCCAATAGTAAAGGGCAATATGTAGGAGCGGGCAGGACTGAGCCAGAGACAACATTCCTATTTCCATGACATAGCATTTTGGGTTTTGGGGTCCCCAATTGACCATAGCTGGAATCAAACCTGAAAATTTTAGTCTTTAGAACTGTCCCTAATTATCGAAACTGACATTAACCCCTTCATGACCGAACTTGTTTTTAGTTTCTGTTCGTTGACACTTTTGACATTTTTGCTGTGTGATTCTTCCACATCAGTAATATACTTTCTTGCTAAGTGCACCCACACATATTATATATTGTTTTTTAGAGGACAGATAGGGCAAAATTATTTATTTATATCACATATGTGTACCTAACGCCTCACTTGGGACAAATAATATATTACAATTGAGGAAAAAGAAAACACTTTTTCCCAAAGTTTTGATTTGTAGTATTTTTTTAGAAAAATATCACAGCTAACAAAATGCATTAAATAAATTCATTAATTTGTTGTTTATTTGGAAAAAACCTCACATTCCTAGGATTTTAGACATGTTTCTGTACTTCTCAGCCTAAAACTAAAACCTAACATTTTAATCTTTTTTCTCTAAAAGCTAAAGCTAAAAGTGGTCTGGCATACAATGTCACTGTCACTAAGTGTTACACTTAGTGACAGCGACATATTTTGAACAGCACTGTCATGAGGGGGCAAATTAACAAATTAACCCCTTAGGGTGAAAAACAAATCTGCAACTCAGCTGAAGATTATCATTGTAAGGGGTTAATTTTTATATTAATGATAGTATAAAAATATATTTAAAAATATATAATTTTTATTTGTTACATTTATTTTAATTGTTTACACTTTATTTTTTTTACACTTTTCACTATTTTTTAAAACATTTTTTACATTTGTATTTTATTTTTTTAAATTATATCAAGCAGTCAATGTGAATGAATGTCACTATTACTGCTTGATAATTTAATTAATTATTTTTTGGTTATTATCAGGCTGCGACAAACTTAAGAACAGCCATTAATAACCTTAGTGACACTGATCCTGCAGCATTTCAGAATCAGATGTCACTAAAGGCTTCTGATCATTCCCACAATGATCTGAAGCCTGTAACATTGTTTCAGCAATAGAAACATGTAGCTAAATGTTTCTATTGCTGAAACTTTAGAAAAAAAAGCTGGTATACATCAGGATTTACTGATGTATACCAGCTACCAGGGTCACGGCAAGAGCTGTAAATAACACTCTGCTCTCACTGACACCCGATTCCTGAAAGGGTTTGTTTGTCTGAAAAAGCTTAACTCTTTCATTAATGGATGCCTCAATACGGAGGCATCCATTAATGAATGGTGACCACTGATTCTCAGCAGTTATCAGCATTACAGAGCCCCAAATAGCTGATCACGTACGGTGTATGTGATCAGGATCAGTCATTTGGGCACTTAGTAGCGGGGATGTACAGTGTATATCTCCATTCAGTAAGGGGTTAACACCCTCTACAAATAGTAGTTGCCCTGCTGTCATGGTGGTTCTCTGGCAATTTTTCATTTCTCAGTCATTAATAGAAAACAATTAGTCACATGCACTTGCTGCATAATTGTTTTTTGTTATTTAAGCAGAAAGTATAAATCCAAACAATTAAAGAAGAGACAGAAAGTATGAAAGACACTGAATCAGCTAAGCATCTAACATATTTAGAGGAAGACCTTCTTCAAAGGAAACATGTACGTCCGTCAACAGAGTTTTCCTTTGAATTAGTTTTTGCTGAATTGCAAAATGTATGTATATTCTTATTTATTCAGCAAATCTGCCTAGGGTACATCTCACTTCATGGACTTCTGAGCAATGAGCCCCGGCACTTTTTCAGGTGGACCTGATCGAAAGCCCGTTCGGTTACCCCCAGCTCTGACCAGGTCCATAAAAACAAATGTATCAGAGTTCTGTTTTGCCAGACCTGATTGTGCCAGATCAGGGGTAATCTGATGTAATCGGACAAATGTCTGTTTATATCTGATTCCCCATAGACCAACATGGGTCCGTAAATTCAATTTTTTTTCTCCATGGCAAGATTGAGGAGAAAACTGGATGGACACAGATTATTTTAAGTGCAGGCAACTATAATAACAGCATCAGCAAAAACTAAAAGGCTTACAAAGGAAAATGTGTAGTTTTGACAGTATATAATTAAACTGGAGCCAGGTACAGGAAAATTAATGGAGGTGATTATAATTAAGAGGAACTAATGACCCTTACAACACCTATAAATATGTGCCTTCTGTTCCTACTTATAAAAATAGTGACAAATAACTTGCAGAAGATTGCATGGCTGAGCTTGCTGCCACTGTTATCATTTATGTAATTAGGAAATAATTGAAGGTGAGGGAATTTTCGAAAATCTGCTTGATCATTAATTTGACTGAAGGGACTGATTGATTATGCTGATTTTGTTGAATCAATAAAGTCAGGTATGTTAGAGATTTTACCACTTTCTAGACGTCTTGAAAACTGCATAAAAACAGCATTGGTTCCCTTGTTTTTACTGCTGTCCCAGAGCTAGGGTGAACAGCTTTGTTAAACATCAAATCGATGGGCCTCCATTTAATATTAAAGTGACAAAATTTCAGTTACCCATTGCTCCTTTTTTTAATTATGAACTTGATGTTTGAAATGTGAAAGACACTCCACTGTGGAACCCAGGGACTGTAGTGAAAATGGCATGCATGAAGTTTAGCCCTAAACTTCACATATGCCCTTTTGATGATGTACGAGTAAATAATTTTCATTCTGCTATAATGAGGGGGGTAAATGGAAACATGTACAATGGATTTTCCCAAGAATATAAGAGGGACACTATTTTTATATATAAGGCAATAGACAATGAGCTGCTGTACAAGGTAAATCTCTGAGATCACAAACATCACAACACTCTCCCTGACAATATCTTCAACTGCTTTTCTCTCCAGTAGAAGAAGCCCTGTTTTTCCAGTCATCTTTCTGGACTAAAATGCTGGCTGAAAGATGACACAATAAGGTAAACCATGGTGCCTGTAAAGTTGTCTGTGTTCACAAATTTCTAACTCTGATAAGCCCCTGCTCTAGTGACTCTGGTAACATTTTGGTTCCACCTCACTTTCTCTCCCAGAGATATTGT